CTTCTGATATAGTTGCCGCTGACCACACCCCACTGGAGGATATAGGGAGAAAACACTCTTAAGATAACCGCCATACGACACAGAATATTAACTTCATCATACGTGGTAGTGGCACACTGCAGCTATATTATGGTTGTAACATGAATGGGTCGCCTCGACTGTGGAAGGAATACACTCTTCCAGAATACCAGCATAAAATTGCAGCTTAATGCTGCATTGTTTCGTATGGTGAGTGTAGATAGTTTTATACGTGGTAGAGCCATGCTGCAGCTATATTAGTAGTATAGTTGTAGCACGAATGGGTCGGCTCGACCAGGGAAGGACCACGCTCTCACAGAAAACCAGCGTAAAATGGCAACTTAACGCTGCTCTGTTTCGTATGGTTGTAAAGAACCGGAGACCCTTTTTACTGGCGAAGAGGCATTCCATCTTAGTCCTCACGGGTGACAACGCATCTGCATCTTGAGTCTTTATTGAGGATAGATGTAGATGTCTATGGGTCACAGTAAACACTTACCATCAGGTGGACTGTGTGCTCGTTTGTCACCCTATACTATAAAAAAAGAGAACCAGAGACCCTTTTATCTTGAAACGAGGCATTCCATCGTAGTACTCGGGAATGACAATTTTTATTCTTAATTGAGAGTAGGTGTAGAATGTAGATGTCTATGGGATACAGCATTCATTTACCATTAGGTGGACTGTTTACTCGTATGTCACCCTTATTCAATAATAAATTTATATTAATGTATTGAAATTGTTTATTTGTAACAATATTACATAAAATACAATACAAATCTATCACTTTAAGAGTAAAAGCTATTTGTTGTTGTTTGCAAGGCTCGCAGGATACATTGTTAAAAATGACGTAGAAAAAAAATTCTAATAAATATATAAAATCTTTATTATTTATTTATTACAATCGATATCTACACTTACAGTCCAAATTTAATGCGATAGTGTAATTTTTGCACCTCTTAAACTAATTCTATCAATTATATCTATTTACTTACATGTTACTAAAAAAGGTTAAACGATAGCGTACATATACAACAACTCGGTTTAGAAAAAAATTAACATCAAATTAAAAAATAAAAATGTATTGAAATTGTTTATTTGTAACAAAAGAGAAGTCTTCAATCCAAGATACAAATCAATCGCTTTAAGAGTTAAAGCTATTTGTACAATCAAGAACGTTATCCTTCAAGTCGAAGGTTTCTCCTTTGCATATAAACCCTGGTACTTGGTACAGTAATATATTCTATTTTTGTTTCAAGAATAACTGTTTGAGTTATAAAATAGTGGTTAAGTTAAATGTTTCATCTTATTTTATTCTATTCTATTTACTTAGATCATATTACATTATTGTGTAAGACATTGAGGTACCGAATTTATTGTAAAATTATTTAACTCGAGATCTTAACGTTTTAACTGTTATTATTTCTGTTAATTTGAATAACATATTCTAAGTTAAAGAACTTTTTATTTCATGTTAGTATGACAAATTAGATTAACTATTAATTGGACTAACATAATGTCAGACTTCATCCGCCTTATTACAAAAAGTAGTTTAGAGTCAGTTTTAAACCAGAGTCTGTTACAATAATCAATAAGTATTTACTTTTTTTTTTTACATAATGCTGCGGATACATGCGAACTAAAATGTAAAGCATGGAATTTGGCAACAGAAACAAAAATGTCGCGAATACTGGCGCCGTGTCTGAGGGAATTCTTTAGTTAAAACCTTCTTGGACCATAGCTTAAGCACGAGGCTATAAATGGACCACGTATTGTATTAGTGTAAAATAGCAGTCGTGTAGTGAGTGTAGTGAACTGGAGACCTTTTTTAATGGAAACAAGGCATTACTTCCATCTTAGTCCCCACGGGTGACAAAGCATCTGCATTTTGATTCGAGTTTGAGGATAAATGTAGATGTCTATGGGCCACAGCACCCATTTACCATCAGGTGAACTTTGTGCTCCTTTGTCACCCTTATCCAATAAAAAAAAAACAAATCAATACGCTTGTAACAATGTATACGCTTTTACAACAAAATCCCAGAAAATGTTCAATGTTTGTCAATAAACAAGTTTAAAAGTTTTATAAAAGAAAAATTGTGCAAAAAGTGTTATTATAATATCAAGGAATACACGAATGAAAATAATCCCTGGGAATGAGGTGATCGCCACCATACTGGTTCTATTAAAATTAATTTAAAAATTATACATTATTATTGTAAAGTGAAATAATATGTTTAAAAATACCGCTGGGTTTCTTGCTGGTTCTTGCCAGGATGGAGGTATTTTCCTAACCAGTTGTAAAAAAAACATGCACGAGTGTCGTGGAACACTCGGTTTTAACCTTTCGTAGTTATTGATAAAAAGTTTCGTTATTATTAATAAACTTATTATATTATTGATTAACAAATACAAATAAATGAATTACATACTAGCATCGACTAAAATAAAAGCATCATTTAAAATAATATTTATTTCATGGCAAGATAAGAAAAAATGCGAGGGGAATGGATATTATGCCATCTTGCTCGCACTATAGAAAGGGGGTCCTGACGGAAAAATCTTACACTTTTTCTCGCCTACCCCCCAACTCAATCATAAATTAAAGAATGCAAAAAATGTAATGCAGGCAAGAGACAAGGATCGGTCTCAGTGATAGCACTAGTTTTCAGTCCAATAGTTTCGTTTTCTTTTTCGTACATGGTAGAACCACGTAGCAGCTTTATTATGGTTGAAGCACTAATGAATCGGTTCGACTGGGGAAGGACTACGCGCTCACAGAATACCTGCGTAAAATAGCAGATTAATTCGCTGAACCGGAGACCCTTTTTACTGGAAACGTGGCATTCCATTTTAGTTCTCAGGAGTGACAAGCTGACAAGGTATCTACATTTTGATACTTAAACGAGGATAGATGTAGATGTCTATGGACCACACAATCCACTTACCATCAGTGGACCGTGTGCTCGTTTGTCACCCTTATCCTATAAATAAAAATGCATAGCACATTCGGTTTATTTCGGAATTACAATACTTATTTTATTGAAGAATTACAATATTGACGGTTATTGGTAACGTTATAACTCTAGGGGATTATATTGAAACCGACGTTTTCGCTAGTAGTCAGAATGATTTTAAAGCTTAGTCTAAAATGTGCGGGCTGAGGGACGTGAGCTTATGTCCTATACTTGCGCTAATGTACAAACACTATGCTAATCTAATTAAATTAGATCGGGTAAACAATGAGGTTTCTTTAATTCCACTCCAACATAATTTTTAGCTCCAGAGGAAAACAGAGGGGTTTATATGTTTATATTGTGTATCTGTGTATCTGCGTATCTGTGTGTGTGTCTGTCTTTGACGTCATAGCTCCTGAACGGATGAACCGATTTAAGTTTTTTTTTTGTTGGAAACCGCTCTTGGTTATCTTCGGTTGTTCTTTGCTATATTTCAAGTATGTGTTCAGCCGTTTGAAGATCATCAGGTCTTTTTTGTTTCGGGGGTTTTAAGATTATTTTTTTTTGAATTTAAGTTATTGGAAAAGTAGTAATGGTCGAGCTTGCTTGATCACAGACTTCAAATGCCCACAATATGATATTTATTTCTAGAACTTCTTTTTATTATTTTACGATTTTATCCTTCATTTATTTACATAACACATAAACATACAATATTATCATCATAATAATCATCATAATAAAAATAACTTAAATTATAAATTAATAAAACCTCCGCAACAAAAAGAGCTGATGATCTTCAAACGACTCAAAAGATTTTCTTGAATCACAGCTAAAAACACTCTCGATCAACTCATCTTTTAAACAAAAAAAAAACTAAATCTAAATCCGTTGATCCGTTTAGGAGCTACAATTCCACAGACAGACACGCAGATACACATAAACACATGTTAAACATATAAAACCCATCTCTTTCGTCGGCTATTAACAACTGAAACTAAAAACCTAAATTATCATCATCAACGCGACGCATGCTAAGAACGCTGGCTGCCTTTCCTCGCTGAATAGCTATACTAACCGCTGAGCGAGAATAGAACCAGCACTCTTATCAGCTTATTACCATCACATAATCACCTTCCTGTTTTAGTTACCCTTTGTCGCCTCGACAGAAGGGATGAAATTGGATAGTGCATTCTCTTACATCGCCATAGCTATGTGTATAGAGGTCTATGAATGTTGTAGAGATGGAGAGTGTGGTCTGCGAAAATTCGCAGATTCTTCTAATATCGTAAACCATGTCCTTCTCTAACACATGTTTTAATTTAGACTATACGCAATACGATGTATATGAATTTAAGTTTGTATAATATGTATTACTTAAATACTTTTAGTTGCATTTACTAGAATAAACCCAAATATACGACGACCTAACTCTTTCAGATCGGCTCGATTCACTGAAGCTGCGAAGAGATGTTACATTACTTTGCGTTTTCTATCGCACGGGGAGTTATCTGAGGAATTTTTCGGATTAATTATAATCGCCAAATTTCACCAACCCACGTCGCGACAAAACTTAAGATACCACAATTTCTGGCGCCACTAAAATTGTAATGAACCTGTTCTCAAGAGAGTTTTGTTGGCAGGTGATATGGCCATCACAGTACTAGGCGTACCACACTTTTAACGGTGTTTCCCATTGTCAGCCTAGGGATTTTGTATCTGATAAAAATACAGGATGGTATACTCTACCTATAGGAGGTCACAAGATCTTCTGAGGCTCTTCTTAAGTAGTCTTTTGAGACGGAACGACATGAGATGGCAAATGGCATGATGATTGATCTTATACCCCTATCATAATATAACTTACATTAGTAACTATTATTTATTCTGTGACCATTCAGCGAATGTTTTTTGTGTGTGTTTAAGTACGAATATCCACCAGCCGCCCATTTTTGAAAGCCTGCAACTATGAAATGTTCTACTATTTGTTTGCAAATAAATTAATCAAACTTTCAATTGTTTCAGGTTGCACAAAACGTGTGAAGGAGACCGACATTCCCTCAACTTCCTTTAAAACGCTTTATATGGAGCGGGACGGATATATGCTACATGCTGCGTCGCGTATTAAAACACACGAAAACCACGATAGGTAATATCGCGGAAGCCAAACATCTTTTTTGATTATAAATAAATATAAACATAGTTAAATTTGAATTTCGAACGACGAACTTCTTGAAGACTCTAGGTGCTTTAGATGGACTAGCCTTATTTAAATTTCCATGTGTTCGGCTGTGTAGTTAGGGCTTCTGGTGAGTAGGAGTAGTAAGGTATAGATTTAAGGATAATAAAAACGGTGGGGACGGTGCGTGGGTGTGTTGTGGTAGTGAGGGTGACTTGTGTGATGCGGCGGCGGCCGCGTAGACGCATTCAACGGATACCAGTACAGCTGATTTGCTCGTTCGTCTGACGAATACGCTAAGGTAAGTTTTCATTTGCTTTCAACATTTTATTAGTTGAGTAACATGATTAACCATTAAGCCGCGTCTCCACCAAAGTTTTGTTGCCAACACAACAATTGCCAACAAAACTTGTTTCCATTTTCGGCGGCAACATCAAAGGAATACGCTTGTTGCCAACATTTGTTCCCTCGGTGGAAACTCTTGTTGGAAACAGTTGGAAACATAACTGTTGTCAACATTTTTGGTGGAGACGCGGCTTCAGAGCCCTCTGTAATCCGGGTGCTCACTGTTTCGCGTAACATCTTTTTTTTTATTAAAGCATCACCAACATTTGTATACTTTGTAAAAATTGTAATTTACATACATACGTAGATAGGGTATTACTTTAAATGCTACAAACTATTACAGGTGATTACAACATGCACTGGAATAAACATCAAGAATAATACAGCAAACTAAAACGTTAAAACAACCCAAAAACTTAATCTATTACATTTGCATTATGCTTGTGTAGTTCTTTTCTGAGCTTGATAGGTGATTCGGAATTAATATCAATAGCATGGAAAAGTTCATTGACCAATCGGGGAATTTGCGCCAAATACTATTTTACGAAGAGATGATCTAATAGTAATTATTCTCTTACGGGGGTATCTATGAGGTACGCGAAATTTTATCTTATTCAACAATTGAGTGCAGTTAATTTTATTTTATTATTTAATAATTTGCTTACGAAGAGTAAGTCGGATATTTGTCTACGATTAGCCAAGGATGTAATTTTGAAAAAAGAAAGCTGTTTCTTATACGAAGAAAGTTTCTTTTTTGAAATTCGATTTGAGTATACTAAATGTCACATGAATCTTTTTTGTATTCGTTCTAAGCGTAAAAAATGCGTTGCATAATGTGGTCTCCAAACTACAGAACAGTATTCTAAGATACTTCGTACTAAATTATTGTAGAGCATTTATTTTGATTTTATTGCTGCGGAAAAGTTTAATGTTTCTGTAAAGAAATCCTAACATTTTGGAAGCACGTTTTGTAATATATTCCATATGCGGCATAAATGAGAGTTTGCAGTCAAATATGACGCCTAAATCCTTGGTCTCTTTTAGTTCCTGTAAATTATTGTTGCCTATGTGATAACTGTAGTAAACTAAATTCATTTTCCGAGCAAATTTTACGTAGAAATATTTTTTTGCATTTACTTCCATCTTATTCAAATTACACCATTGAAAGATATTGTCGAGATCACAATGGAGTTTACGTGCTTCATCTGTGGTTTCAATTATTCTGCAAAATTTTAAGTCATCAGCATACATGTAAGAATCAGAAATTTTAGGCACAAAGGCAGATCATTAATATAAATATTAAACAGAAGTGGGCCCAGGTGAGATCCCTGTTGTACGCCAGATGTGATTTTACGCAAACTCGACTTAAAGCCATTGATGACCACATAAAAAGTACGGTCGATTAGATAAGACCAGATCCATTTCTTTAAACCATTACAGGTTCCATATGCGGACAGTTTCTTTAGGAGTACACTATGTGAAATGCGATCAAAAGTCTTATTAAAATCCGTGTATATGACGTCAACTTGTTTAGTGACATCAAGTGCTTCATAAAGAGTTTCAGTGAAGCTTACCAGATTAGAGTTTGTTGATCTACATTGAACAAATCCGTGTTGCTTATCACTAAGTAATTGCTTAAAATGATCTTGTAGAAATGGACATATCAAAGCTTCAAAAATTTTAGCAATTGATGACAGTATTGAAATGGGCCTGTAGTTTTTGACTAAATCTTCATTTCCCGATTTATGCATAGGAATAACCTTTGCAATTTTCCATTTAGCCGGGAACATGCCTGTTGGGAGTGATTTATTGTAAATTAAAGACAGGGGTGATACTAAATATTTAGCACATGCCGCTATAAATGTGTGGGATCCCATCAGGGCCGGGACCTTTATTAGAGTCAATACTTTTTAATTTGTTTAAAAGTGATTCGTTATCGATAACAATAGACGAAAATGTAGACTATAGTTTTCTAAATAATTAAAATAATTAGAGAGAACGTAATTATTCGAAGCAATGTAAACCCCATCAGTATATAGAGATCTTTAGTATTAAGTTTTTTAATGCCACGAAATGTTTAATATTAAGTTTTTTTAACATTTAATTATTTCCATAGTTGGAGCATTTTTTCACCATTTAGTGACGGCGTAAGAGAATCTACTACCCCACATCAATTCTTGGGTGTCTTAATAGGTGACAGAGGAAAACGGAAACAAGAAATGACCATCTTCCTGATAACAGCGCAAAATAATAGAAAAGTACGGTTGCCAATCCGCCTGCCAAGCGTAACAACTATGCCAAATAAATATTAGATTTCAGTAGTAGTAGTATTTCATTTGAGCATATATTTTTATACTAACCATTTTTTTTATAGAATAAGGTTGAAAAATTAGCACACTTTGTCAACCTGGTTGCGGCCCATAGACATCTACATCTATCCTCGAATAAGACTCAAAATGCAGATACTTAATCACCCCCGAGGCTTATGAGTCATTATCTTCTTTTTCTTCATCTCAATTTGTAATATTTGCTGGATGAGGGTTTCTAACGCAGTAAGGACGATTAATATAGAGAATAATCAGCCTTGGCGGACGTATTGGTCGCGTACCAATCGTCTCGATGTTTCATCTCATCTCCATTCTGCTTTTATACATCTAGCGTAAATTAGTTGGTCTTTTCGCTTTGTACATTCGATCGGTAGCCTTAAGATCTTTCGAGAATTCTATTAAATATATTCATTATATTTAATAGAATTCTCGAAAGATCTTAGTAGATAGCAGAAAGAGTATTCCGACAAACACAGATTGCCAGCCACTTGAGCACAGCGTCACAATTAAGGCAAGTCCTCAGCGTAATGGAACAGGACCAGATCCTTCAATAGATTTTCATGGACTGATGAAGAAGATGTAAATCACACACATACATATTCTCACAATTTTATACGCCCCAATATGTATCCAACCCGATATGACATTTCGCTTGCTTTATAACACCAATAGTCATAGGGAAATCGAGGACATTCAGATGAATAGTTAACACAGACGATCTTCAGCTTTTATATATTTAGTATTGGTTAGATCTACGTAGACCGAGCTTGCAGTACGTACGTGGTTTTACAGTGGTGTGCTTGGGTGATTTTGATGTGACACGAAAATACTCCTAGAGATATATTTATAAACATTTGAAAATCCGACTGATTGCAATAAAATTCAAGTGGGAAGTGGGACGATTTTATAAAAACTATTGCTAAATCCAATTGTGAATGCCCTAAGCGCATTAAAAAATTACGTATAACATGGTTATACGTAAATTTTTAAAGTAGTTTAAATACATACAAGTTTTCACTAATAAACTTATTATTATACTTCCAATTTTCCGATAATTTTATGTTAAACTTCAATTTTAAAAAAATTGTGGAAAGTCCAAAAGTTTACGACTCATAATGCTCATATGATCATATCATCATTTAGATCACTTCATAAAGTTCAAGACGTATTCAAGTATAAATATACTTAAATATATATACTTACTTTTAGTACTTAGTTAGTTTAAAATATTGTAATAAATATAATAAATCAATAATAATCAGGTATGTATGAAATTTGGTTTTCCGAATATTTTGTATTTGTACAGCGATCTTTTTGAGCCGCAGCGAACAACCGATACAGTATCCACTCACGACGGCGGTTGATGCCGAAGTAAGTGAGTGAGGCAGTCTATTTAGTAAAATAAATTATTACAAGGCTGCTAAAACACCAAAAATTTCCGGATTTCTACGCCGAAAAAAATTTATTATAATGAAACAAAAGAAAATTAAACTGTCGTTTACATTCCATGGCTTCCCACATGATAGATGAAGAGATTAAAAAATAGATTGAGATAAACAATTGATATTTTCAAAAGTTATCGTGTGTACGACTCCATGCGGACTTGATAAATCTACACCATAAGCCACTAAAACCAATTTTTTATGTAAAAATAGCAATTAATCGATTAAAAAAAAATATTATTAAGTTCAACAGTCATTTATCTTTCTGACAATGCACTTTATAAATTATATAATTTATATGTTCAATATGATTGTTAGATACAATTTTATGCGACAAAACGTTGGAATCTTGATTTTTAGGCGCTAGTAAAACATACCTACGCGCTTTGCGCTTAAGGCATGCAATAAAAAGTAATCACTCACTTTTATTCAAATAGCATTTTTCGCTTGATTTTATAATGCTTTATCACACCTCATATTAAAGTGTGGGTAAAACTAGTTTGCTGATACGGTAAGAAAGTGTTATGTAAGGGAGTATGTGATCTGTGGATATATGTACGTGTCTAATCTTCTTGATCGGATCTACTTCGACGGCCCTGCTGAGGGCTTGACAACAAGCCATGTACAACACTACCCTTATTAGAGTAAAGGATTTCAGCCGCTCGAAGTGTAGTTGCCGAAGTCTTATATTTACAACATCTTATGCGTTCGCCCAATTAGTATACCTCTAATTAAGAATAGAAAATTAACAGGAATTCTTTATTTAGATAATAAGTACCATACTTGAATTGTTATTTCCATTTCCATTATCATCACAGCCCTTCACAAGTCCACTGCTGAACATAGGCCTCCCCAAAGGAATGCCACAAATCACGGTCTCGAGCCACTTGCATCCATCAACTTCCTGCATGTCTTACCAGGTCGTCACTACATCTAGTGGGGGGGGGGGGGGGGGCTACACTTCGTCTACCGGTACGAGACTGCCACTCACTCGAGAACCTTTCTTGTCCATCGGTTGTCGGATACCATTATCAATCGAATTTTAGAACCGTGACTCGGCGAACTATGGAGAGGGCGGAGCTATTTCCATTCTCACAGAAAACCAGCGTGAAGTAGAGGTTTACCTCTGCGTTTCGCTTGGTGAGTGCAGGTGGCCGGAGGCCCTTTTTACTGGAAATGAGACATTC